CCCTAAACTCCTAAGCCCCTAAACCAGAGCTCTGGTGCTGAAAAGCGGCCAGGAGCGACTGCTTGATCAAGGCTTCCGGGCCCGAGGACCTCAGAAAAATCGCCGGGACGATGAGGGGTTAGGCTTTCGGGTTTAGGGTTTAAGGTTGGGGCCCGAAACGCCCTAAAATCCCAAGAAGCCCTAAAAACTAAACCCAAGAAGCCCCAAACAAACTAAGAAGGATAAGAACTCAATGCTAGTTAACAATGACAAGAGCGGCAACCGGAACAATAGTAAGAGTATGTGCGGGTGTTTATGGTCTAATGAGGAAATATTCCGTGCACCTGACAAGGCTTCTTTGTGCAGCTTCGAGTTCGTGGGTAGTGGCTTGGAGCCTTGAATCAGTCTCCAGTTAAGGTGCCGGTTTGGGACTTCCGAGCTTGGCAACCCAGACCACCGCAATACTGCAGAGACGACAGGAAACAGCACAAGCATCGGCAGAGAGGCAAGTAGCCGGTGTACTGCTAGCAGTGGTTGGTGACGGTACTAGTAGTACCAGCACACGGACGAGGAAATGGGATCCAACATGATTCCTGTCATGCACTTGTAATTAGACTGTAAGAAGCACCGTCGCAGTCACGAACCTCAATTGAATCTGCGTAGAAATCTCTCGCTGCACCTTGCTTCCTGAGGCCGCAGCCAGTCAGTGGTCTTGCCTTTGGTGGAAAGCCCCTCGCGCGACAGGGGTGGATGCAATACGGGCGTGTGCTTGTGAAGGTGAGGAGGATAACGATGACGCAGAGTATGACAATGATAATCAATGATATTTATGCTGGCAATGCCAGTGGCAGTGTTAGGGTTTAGGGTTTGGGGTTATAGGGATCACACAGTCCATGAACAAGCACAGGCCCTGCTGCGCCGCACATGATCTTCTCTGAGGCTCCGACCAGAGCCTGGCATGGAAAGCAATGCGAAGAGCGAGGTGCTTAGAGGTCAGAGTTGAGGGTGCGGGGTGGTGCAGGTAGTGTTCTGGGTTCTTGCTAAGGGATTTAATTCAAGCTACCATCATAAGGAAACCATATTATTCACTATAGATCCCAATTATTGTAACTTACAGTGAATCCATTAACAAGAGCCCAGTGTTTGGGGTCTCGGGCTCAGAGTTTTTAGGATTTTGGGGCTTAGGCTCTGGGGAAGGAAGGAGATCAGGGTTTCAGCTTGAGGGCTTTTCGAGTCTCGGGGTCCAAGGTTTGAAACAGAGGGCTGAAGGTGTAAGGAGTGGGCATCAGGCTGATGTTCAAAGACATGCAAAGACGAAACATCACAAAAAAGAAAAACTGCAGAAATACTCTGCAAAGCTATTTGGGGGGGGGGGGGGGGG